CACAAGTGCAAGCATGATATCAATCTTTCAAAAAATTTACTCCTAAATGACATCCACAAGGCATACAAGGAGTATTGGACTCTCAAGTCGAGCAATTTTTAAATTTTAAGCAATATAGTCATCAAAAGATTAAAATTATAGCTAGTCATGGAACAATAATATAAAATCCCTCAAATACACACTCATGCTCAAAATTTTAAAAATTGTTAACAAATATGTCCAAATGCTACTCATTTTTGGAGATAGTGTATCCCAAAATCTCTCAAGTATTATTATTATTATTGGTATGGTTTATTATTATTAGGTAAAATTACAAAAAAAAAAAAAAAAAAACTCCTTAGCTATTGGTTAGTTGTAACATGACTTCTGAAGGGTATTATGGGTATTATATATTTATGATATTTTATATTTTTATATAAATTAATAAGGAGGGGTATTTTAATAATTTTACACTCTGCATTTTACTTGGACACCAAGCATAATTATTCGAAGTCAATCGCAAAAACTCTCTACGTTCAAACCCTAGAATTCTCTCTGTACAATCCATTCTCGATCATCTCTCTCCAATTTCCACTATTTCTGCAAATTCAATCGTTCATGGCAATCGATTCAGCGACGCAGACGACATCGCTCGCTCCTGGGTTTCGATTCCACCCAACCGATGAAGAACTGGTTCGGTACTACCTCAGGCGCAAGATCTGCGGTAAATCATTCCGGTTCGACGCCATCTCCGACACGGACATCTACAAATGCGAGCCTTGGGACCTCCCAGGTATCCTCTCTCTCTCCAAAACTATAAATTTGAGTTCTTTTTGATTGTTTGGTGAATCGTCGAGCTTCAATTCGCCTCTCTAAAACCCTAGCTCTAGAGTATCGAGGGTTTATGGTCCCCTCTAATTTTGTAAAGTATGTGGATTGTCTGAGGCTACGGCCTTATATAGAGGGAAATAGAAATCAGCTTCACACCAGAAGATCTGTAGAGGGTGCAGATGCCGAATGGAGACATACTATTCCGACCCCAAGTAGTTGGGAAAATGATGATGATGTTGTTGTTGGAGTAAGTTGGTAGGAAGAGGGACTAGTCACATTGAGGGTGTGTTACAGAAAGCAGAAGACCAAAATTAACATGGATAGAGTTATGCGTTTTGATTGAGTTATGGCCTTAAATAGAGCAGACAGGAAAATTAGGATTTATATAGCTGATTCCACTATGTATATCTAAATAATATCTTTAGATTTGTGATTGACTAATTGGTAAATTGTGGGTCCTAGGTAAATCAAGGCTGAAGAGTAGGGATTTAGAATGGTACTTCTTCACTGTTTTGGACAAGAAACATGGCAATGGATCGAAGACGAATCGAGCAACGGACAGAGGGTATTGGAAGACTACAGGGAAGGACCGGGCGGTCCTGCATAGGTCGCGGACTGTTGGGATGAAAAAGACCCTCGTTTATCATAGCGGTAGGGCTCCACGCGGTGAGAGGACCAACTGGGTGATGCATGAGTACAGACTGATTGATGACGAATTGGAGAAAGCTGGCATTGTCCAGGTGGGAATTGTGCGTTGTATGTCAATGGTTATAAAAATCTTTTTTGTCTTCCTTTTATATATGTTTTCAGTTTCTGACAAAAAAATATAAAAGAAATTGTTTGGTGCAATTGCATTTGTTAGCATGTGAGTTTTGCAAAAGAAAATCTGTTACATACCAAAAACAAGAGTATTCTGAAAGCACAAAAAAAGTAATATGCGATTTTGATATAATATGGTTTTTCTTTTGTTTATTTTTTTGTTTTTGGTGGAGTAGGATGCATTTGTGCTGTGTAGAATATTTCGAAAAAGTGGTTCAGGGCCAAAGAATGGAGAACAGTATGGAGCACCATTCGTCGAGGAAGAATGGGAGAATGACAATGAGCCTGTTTTGGTACCTGGAGAAGGGGGTGCAGAAGAGCTTGTAGATGATACTTTTCTTGATGAAAATGACCTTGAGCAGGTCTGTACTCCATTTCATTGTTGTATATTCATTAGTACCTCTCTCCCTCACACACCCATGCTCACTACAGTGAGAATTGGAAGTAATCTGCTTTGTCAAATAGTGATGCCCTATCTCTGCATGATTATATGAATAAATTCCTGTTATATTTTAAATTCAAATTCATAGGAGTGTAAATTTTTAGAGGGGCAATATATATATATATATATATTGCACGTGCATAGATAGCTTTTGTGAACTGCTAGGAGTGAGGTACCTGTTAGGTGTGGAGTGTTGACAGGGGCCTAGTGTACTTGAAAAAGCATCTACTTGTCCTTCGTTCCTCCTTTCCTCTGATGGAATATACTGTACAATAAAATTAGGTGGGGGGGGGGGGGGGGGGGGAAATAATAAGGAAGTGAAAATCTGTGTTCACCAGAGGCACATCAAAACAACATTTACAAAGATAAAAAAAAATATATATATATTCTCACATAATTACTAGATGTGACTTTGAGTGAAGCAGACATTTTAGCAAGTTCAGCCAGCCCAAGTAGTTGACATTAAAAGTAAGCTTGGACATCTGTTAAAACCAACTTATATTGTTTATTGATTCTGTTATTTGTATCTCGTACATGATATATGTGAATTGCTTTATATTGCTTGCATGGTAGATTGGTCACAAACTTGTACAAAATATATTGACCATTCCGAAATAAACTCTTCCAAATTGTTGTTGCATCATATTCTCTGTCTTTCACTTCTTTTTAAGATACAATTTAGGTCAATTTAATTTTCTTACACCAGCAAATTCTTTTTTCTTCCACTTGTATTTCGGAGATGTTTTCTGCACAATAGAGAAAGAGTTGCCAACCAAAATAGTCCCCCACCCTTCTTGACCTCCTCATCAGCAAGAAATATTGTTTATTGTCTTATTTTCGTTTCTATTGTCACATGTCTGGCTTCTTCTTTTTTGTAAATATAAATAAATAAATAAATGAAGCACGTCTGTCTTTGTTTGCGATGTTTTTACAAAATGCAAATTGTCGAGGCATTCCATTTCCAGACACACCCCAATATATGAAGGTTTGTGATTCTTGCAATTTAAAATGATTAGTTTTTGGAATTTTCCTAATTGTATCCTGTAGTTGTGTTGGGAACAGCATCTTTGGTCTGTATGACCTAAAATTTAAGCCACAGTACTTGTTTTTGTGATTTACCCACTCCCCTATTAGTTTAATTGTATGTGATTTGTTGAAACTCTGTACTTCCTTTTCCCAGATTTTAGCAGGCATTCCATTAGAAACTGCTCCTGTTCCTTCGAATTATTATGTGGATTTTGACAACTACGTGGAGGAGTCAAAGACCGTTGTTAATGATGCTGAAAAGCTCTCAGTAGGGATAAGTGAAAATCATGGCTTAGAGCAGCTTGATGGCCAGAAGGTATTGGATTTGCCAGCACAAAATGATGTGGATGCCAAACCAGTCAAAAATGAATTTATTGGTGAATCAAGCAACCCCTGGAATCCGGAGCATGCAGATTACTTACTTGATGAACCATTCTTTGATGCTATCAATGATCAACCATTTCATGGAGAATTCATTGAAACTGATGACCTTTCAAACACCATTGAGGCGGATCCCTCTGGCTTTGACATGCTTGAAGAGTACCTTACATTCTTTGATGCGGATGATGGCAGTTTAAAGTATATGGATTATGATTCTTCGAAGATGGTGGAAAGTGAGAATCCTGTATCTGACCAAACTTCCTTTACTCGGATGGTAATTTTACAGTTCAAACTTCACTATATTTCCCTTGTTGACTGCAATATTAAGAATTGGGATTTGTGATTTATTCAGTTCGTTACTGTATACCATCAGGTGAATGGAGAAACCTACCAAGGGGCTTGGGAAAGCCAACAGCTCCTAGAGGGATGTAATAATGCTTTTGTGGCTTCTTCAAACCAAGAGCCGGAAAAGTCTAAATCAGGTAACACAGATAATTTTATTCTAGTTTGAACTAGCCCAGCTAGGGCATTAGAATTTCCTTTCTAGTTGCAGTATGAGTTGCATTGTACCTGCCAAATTCACCTACTTCTGTTAAACCTAATATCTTCTGATGGTGCAGCTACCAAGTATCTATTCAATCAGGCCAGTCGAATGTTGGGCAGCATCCCCGCTCCTCCTGCATATGCTTCAGAATTCCCTACGAAGAATGCAATTCTTCAGCTGAATGCTGCTTCTCAGTCTTCCAGTTCAGTCCATTTCACTGCTGGTATGATCCATATAAGAAACGTGAATTTGAGTGGCATTGGGACAAACTTGACATTTGATAAGCTTGGGAACGTCAATGTTGTCCTCTCTCTTGGCCTGTCATATACTAATGTAAATTCAGCCAGTTTGGAACCAATGGCTAGCATATCGAACAAGGACAGATTGGCAATGTCGCGGGGTTGGTTCTACCTTATTGTGTTCATGTGGGTCCTGATTCTTTTGATTAGTTTCAAAATTGGGTCCTATATTTATTCAGGTTGTGCTCATTGACTAGAACTGGCAAAAATTCATGTCGGTGGATATTTACTCGATACTCCTGATACACAACTTACTGTTGCAAGATTGTTTAGAATGTAATGCTTACTCTTGAAATCATAGTGTTAATATATGACCTTGTTATTCCAATTTGTTATTGTTTGTTGACAACTATAATTTTTCATTATGCAGTTGCTGAGTTCTAGATTTTATTGGGTCTTGCATATCTTTGCATGTAGGCCTCGACTAAGAACTATGAGACGATTTATCATTCAGCTACATTGGTGTGTTGTATTTTACAATGATTCGTAGTGTGGACAAATGGTTAGTGTGGATATATTCCTGTCTATATAAGTATAAACATGGCGTGTATATTCCCTGCAAGTATGGGTACATCATGAGTACCAAAAATCAGTATTTTTTTTAATACCAAAGAGAACCAACAAAATCAGAGTATAAATAATTTGAGTGGCATCGGAACAAACTTGACATTTGATAAACAAATAACAATTACTATTACATGGGATCAAATAAAAAAAATATACTATATATATATATATATATGATACAAAGCAAATTACTTGGATTCTCACAACATGGTACCCATACTATAAATCATTGTCCCAATGTGGTCTCATGTTCTCACAAAATTCGTATAATGATCGGTATTCAGAAAATATTTCAAAATTCACTATCAAGAATGTTCACCATATAAATACAGTGGCATCCCGCATAAGCTAAAGATTAGACCTATTGCTTGAGGCTACAACTGTGAGTAAAGGTCACCTTTTTTTTCCAGTAAAAATACAGCCGTCAAACTCAACGAACACATCTAGGTTTCAATGGAGACTTGAACCATCAACCTCTCGTATGGGAGGATGAGGAAATACAACTTGACCTAGAGGCTTTGTGGTGGTCAGTTTTCCAGTGTTTAAACGTTCCTATTTTGAGGTACCAGCAACTTTAATGAGTTGCATTTACTCCTGTAATCCAGTTATCCACTTCCAAACACCACCAGAACTTTGGCTCTGAGCGGCTGTGGCAAGCTCCACCTCACGTTCCAACTCAGATTTCTATCTCCGGAGTAACTGAACCTCTTCCTCTATAGACTGCAGATTATCCAGCATCTTCTGGAACTCTGCGATTTGTGCCTGGAGACACCATTATCAATGTCAATTACAAGTTTACAACCATTCTTATGAAAGATGACAAAAATTTACGTTGGTAAAAAGTTAATATGGATAGAAAGGAAACCTCCAATTTAGTGCATCTTGATCTCTCAGCTCCAAGTTGACCTTTGAATGAACGGAATTCCTAAAGCAAATTGGTAAAAAGGATGAAAAACGATCATTGACAGACTTATAAAACCTATTAGCAATTTACAGTAACGGGCATACCTTGAACAACTCGGCATGGGTACTTGAAGTTTCCTCAATCTTTTCCTTCAGACCAGAATTTTCTGCTTTGACTTCAGCAAGTAATGATTCCAACACCTTGTTTTCTTCTCTAATTGCGTTGATGTCAAGTGAAAGATCCTGTTGAGAGCCATTGTCCTCGACTAACTTAATGTTTGAATCTTCTGTTTTAATGAAGTCCAACTTTCCAGGTTGGTTTACGGCATATGCAGCGGTAACTGAGGCTGCCGTTGCTGCAGCTGCTGCCGACTGGAAAATCTTGGGATGTGAAGAGTCCCTTGGTTTGGGTCTCATAACAAATACCTAAAGTTTCAGGCAAGCACAGAAACCAAATAAAAAGATAAAACTGCAACGACATGCTATACCAAGGCATCAGGAAAAGGAAATTGGTTCACAATGGAAACCAGGAGAAAACTAGCATAGATTGAAGCACCGTTACCCAATAATTGGCTGAATAAATTCCAGTAAATAGCACTACAGTTCAAATTGGTTTGTTTAGCAATTTACCCTTTATTGAAACAAAGCCCAAAACAATCCAACCATAGGTGCTGTCCTATCACCTTAGGGTTGGGTTATGGGATTGTTTGTATAAGGTGTGGTGTGAGGTCTATGGAAAACTTACATAGATAAACAATAGTATGAGAGCTATTATATTATATTACATAGATAACAAATAGTATGAGAACTATTATATCATATATAATAATAGCGGACCGGATCGGTTCGGATTTTTTTTTATATTATTTATTTTTGGACAATAATCCGCGAACCGAACTGATCATCACGATTCTCTTAACTATGAAACTGAAACCGAAACAGTAACCGTACCGATTGCTTGTGAAACTGAACCGATCCACACATAACAGAATGGATCGGATCAGATCGGATGGTCTGGCCACTTAAATGTGCACCCCTAATAATATTGTTAGGAAGGAGAAATAAATTATTTTTATCCAAGAAAAGTACTAAAATGAAATTTTGGCACCAAATGTAAATGAAAACAGAATTTACCCAAAAGCATATAAATTAATGAATAGCTGCAAATGAGTATATATTCCAGAAAATCTGCACATTCCAAATGTATTTTACCTATGTTCCTCTTCTGTCCAAGCTATCCCCTTCCGCCGTTCTTGATATGATGTTGATGACTTCCTTCCATGGCTGGAATCACTTTGCATTTGCCGAGACAGGCTTCTCTTCTTACCAATGCCGAAATCTCCTGCATGATTTGCAGAATCGTCAAAAGAAGAAACATAGGAAGGCAAAGGCACTAAGCCAGACTCAATTGCATTGACATCTTCAACTAAGAGATTGTAGTGATGTTTGATCTCCTCAAGCGTTTTCCCAGGAACTGCTGCCGCAATCTTCTCCCATCGATCACTCAAATCCTCAGAATAGATTGCCAAAGCATTCTCAAATGCTTTATCCTGCTCCCTAGTCCACACAGAGCTACTGCATGCTCCATTCATGCTCATCCTCTTGCTTAAGCCTGCTTGAGGAGTTTAGTCCACAGGGGAAGAGATTGGGAGAGCACTCAGAAAAGAAAATAATGGATCTCACAAACAATTTTCAGTTCCAACCCAAAACGAGAAATAGTCTTACAACCGACAATTGCATTACTTTCGAAAACTTTCCCTTTGATAGGTTGGACACGTGAAGAAACGCCAAAACAATTTTCTATACTGACTCCTAGGCTTGGATTTTCAAGTTTCAATAACTGATAGCTGACCCATAGGTAGAGCAGGACAAAAAAAAATAACATATGTGATATGGCCAAAGAGGTAAAAGTGAGAAGCAGCAATATGTGTAAACCAATAAGATCCACAAAAGCGAAGGAACATGCACAAATAACCAGCATCATGACAACCAACTATAGTTCAAAAACATATAAAGAAACTATACTGTAATGAACAAACAAATTACAGATGAAAAAGGTAATGAAATTTCTTTAATAACAAGAGATATCTGATTACCAATAATGGAGTAACTGGTGAAATATGACCGAATATATAGATAATTAATGATGAACTAAATACTAACATGATGATGGTTATGGACAGTAGAATTTGGAAGAGTAATGAATGGTTAAGTTATTATTCAAAACCAACCTTACAAGTTGCAGAGAAACAAGGTTAGCAAAAATTTGAAATGAATGAAATTAAAAAGCTGGATAAAACAATGTGATAGTGCAAACTTGCAAGGTATAAATGTAAGGTTCAGGCTCTTATAAAGAGACACTTGTTGTAATTCTCAAATTGGGGTCAATTTGCCAAAAACACATAAAACAAGATAATAAAGGCTGGCATATCCCAAAGAAGATTATTAAGGTGTACACAGTCATTATTCATTGCCCCTTTTGTTATGAACTCTGGCGAGGGTTTTTTTTTTTTTTTTTTCTTGAGTAGGGTTAACTTAGGGAAATACTCAAGAAGTTGGTTCCTTAAATGGGATTGATATTGGTGCCTTTGGTTTTATTAACAAACGTAAAGTTCTGAGGATGGGTCATGCGATGCTTTAATTCAGGTGGTTAGGATTGAAACAAATGCAATAAGTTCTGTGCAGAACCAAAATGGGGAAGAGCTATGGTATAAAGTGCACCACTTAACCTCTTTTGGGCTTCTGTGACTATAAATTTAAATAGAGCACCATAAGTTTAATTTTGAAAATGGTCAGAAACCAGTTTGATGCTATCCTGTGCATCAATTTTCCCCTTCCGTAAATGGAAAACACCCGTCACGAGCATTGTTGATTTACTGAAATGCACTTGGGACTCCCGGTCTTTGTCAATGGTAGATAATGCAGGAACGTCTTGGTAGAGTTGTTCTTTATATCCCTAGGTTGGTGCGAAATGGTTTTCCTCTCCTGACAAAGTTATTGCACTTTTGGAAGGTCTTCAAGAACTTCCCCATTGGGTAGTCATATTGTTGAATTATAGAAGATTCTGTGATTATGGTGTGTTTAATGAAATTGTGATCTTGTGGTTCATGCTACTGTGCTTACTCAATGTTAGAAATCTTGGATTTGTGTTGCTCTCCAAAAACAAAGAATTTCCCAATAGAGATTCACAGGTCACTTCCACGCTCCTTGAGGTTTTTGTGGGACTAGGTTTCCATGGATTATGGGAAAGATTATAATTTTAATTTATATTTCTCTTTTTTTCTCTTCACTTTTGTGCCCTAAAAGAATCTCTCCCTCTACCACTTTGTGCAGATCCTGGCCTCGACTTTAATATATCTATGTTCTTTTTAACAAAATAAAAAGAAAAACAGATTATGCTTTTAGTAAAAGCCTGACCAATTCAACCCCTTCTCTTTGATCATTGACTTCTTTACAAGTATCACTTGGCATGAGTATTAAGTTGTTAGATACAATCAATTCCAAAAAAATTTGGATATGAGCTGCATGGATGAAATATAAGAGTTTCTTTCTCTTTTCATCTTTACCTTAGAACAAGAATGGTGTATCCGTAGAATGTATCACATGGGTACTAATAATATGTTCATGCAGTAGAGAAGAGAATTAAGAAAACATTCCAATGGAACTTACAATGAGCAAGGAATATGTTCCTTTTATCCTTTGTAGAGATTGCTTGTTGCATGAGCATCCAAAGGTAGGCATGAAGAATTCATATTTCATGCCCACACCAGTGTCGTCTTTAAGTAGACATGGGTAGTTCACACAATTGAGATGTCCATGTGATATTGCACTCCTTATATACATATCTCTAGCATCTGTGGAGCTTGTGTTCTTCAACCATTTACACCAGACATAAGATCTCAGTTTTTACAGAGAGCCATTCAACAGCCAATTCAAAAGATATAACAGATATGCTTCTTTTCAACAGCAATACCACTGAAACAAATAGTGTGGACAACTACCTTCCAAACAAAAAAACCTAGCTTGAACTTAACCTCAACCTTCTAAAATCGGTAGTACAATAATGTTTGCATGAAATATTTTGGCAAATTAATAAGCAAGTTCACTAAATGCCTTCCAAATCGACATCTTTTGGGTTTCAAAATTCCTTTAACTTAAAATCGACTTTATAAAATCAACAACAATTTTGGAAACTACATCACTAGATGCAGAATCCATTTGACAGTCACACCATACACAACCACTATCGCCATTGTAGAAAAACTGAAAAATTAACAGACAAAAACCAGGAGGAAGAAAACTTCTTTAAAGGCAGAGCTACGCAATTTATGAAACAATCAAGTCAGTAGAATGTTAAGTAAACAAACTAAGAATTTACCATCGACAAACATCAAATGTAAAAGTCTAACCTTTTTTAAGGTAAGAAAAATCCACCTCGTCCGCTTCTTCCGACTCCATTTCTGAATCTTAAAAAGATAATACTAATTCAATCAGTCAGTTGGTCATTGAATTCAATTTGCATACCACGATTTTCAAGAACATTCATAAAACTAATGCATTTTGTACATATAAATATTCGGTATGTTTCAATTCTGTAAAAATAACGAATTGAAACAGATATATCCATTTTGTATTACGCCAAATTGATTAAACCCTGAACTCCAAGACTTAGCCGTTAACTTTCATGCGAAATGATCCGAATCTACCCCAAGTTAAACGACGTCACTTTGTTATATGCCTGTTGAATATATCATCTTCCCATAGTAGTCGTGTTCTTCAGTAACCCAAATCGAAATTCCCAAATCGATTTGAGTTACCGAAGAACCAAATCAAAGTCAATATATTTGATGAACGGATGGCAGTAGATGCTACTCCATTCAACTGCTTCTATGTATACAAAAGCCTCCCAAATGCATTTCCACATACCCTTCACCTGCGCTTGAGAAATTTTGTGAAGTTCTGAATATTCCAATGTAAACCCTAAACGGTGAAGACGACGGTACCGTTAGCAGTTTAGATATTCTCGGGCAAGCTAAAACGACGCCGTGTCTGCTTGGGTAGTTTTGGTATTAGGATTTCGTGTTTTTAAAAATAAAAATAAAAATAAATTAATTAAAATTGAATGACAGGTTATTTGGCAGCCCACTCGGGTAACAATATTTTGTTTTATATTTGGCAAAAGCTTTGACAATCTCAAATTTTGACAGTTACTTTAACAGTCAATTTGAGAATTTATTTTAAACTCACTTGTTATATTTTGACAATGAGAAGTGATTTGGCAGTCTATTAGAATTGCTAATTGTAATTTGTCACTTTTTAGTCAATTTTCAAGTACGATATGGAATGTTATAGATATATGAAATATTTTAGAGTATTGAAGAATTAATTAGGTTGTAATATGAAAGAAAGAGTAGGAATTATTATAGAGAGATGAAATATTTTAGGATATTGAATAATTATTATATGGTAAAATATTCTAAAATATTTGTGACTCTTTTTTAGAAGGGTAAATATTTGAATAGAATATTTAAAATAGGATGTTTATAAAGGGGTGAAAGAATTACTTTCACCTCCAAGAATGAGAAATTTAATAGCGAGGATGAGTTAAAGTAAACATGATGTCACAATATGGTGTTAATTAAGTTGATAATAAAAATGTTGAAGTTAACCGCAACCTTTTATAAATGAAATGTTGTTGCTAAATTAATGTATGATTTGGTATTTCAGATTTGATTTTTCAAGATATTTTATGTCCCTTATTTATAATTTTTAAATGAAATAAAAAAGGAAACCACCAGTTTTATTTTTTATTTTACATAACCCTAAATGACAAAAATGCTCCTATGTACATATATTATATTAAGAAAATGGTGCACCTTAATCTAAGATTAAAATTAGTACAAATAACTCATTCAATATGGTATTATTAAAAATAATTTTTTTAAAAAAAATGGTGCATCAATAAAAAAAATTACTTTCTATTTTTTAAAATTTTCTTAATTTTTTATTTAAAAAAATAGAACGAGAATTATTTTTGAGAAAACCTAAATCTTCTTAAATTATATATTAAGGGGAATTTTTGTCATTATTACATCATTTTAATGGTGTGTAATTTTCAAAATTTTCTTAAAGTTCCATTTTAAAAAAATTAAAAAGGAAAATAAAACCTAAAATGAAAATCATTTAAAAAAAAATAAGGGGCAATTTCGTCATTAGGGTGCAATGTTGCAACAATAAAAAAATGTTAGGGGGTTTTATGTTAAAAATATTTTGGATAGAGGTTTCATGCCAAAAATAGAAAGTATAGGGGTTTTATGCAATTTGCCTATAAACTATTTTTTGTTTTTTAGAACTAAAATACTCTTTCTTTGATTCCCATTTACATTATCTTACTAACTTTCACTAAATCTCAAGAAAATGTAGGTTGTATTTGATTTACTTCTCAAAAACTTATAAAATAAAAAATATATATATTAAAGAACTATCAAAGACCATTATTAAAAACAATTTTTTCTTTGAAATTTTCATAAAATAATTTCCATTATTGGCAATCAAAAAAGTTTCTATACAAATCTCTAAATTTCTAAATTTTAAATTGTTTTCTAAAAATTGAAGAGAACAATCCTATATATATATTAATTATTGTGTTGACGATTGAGCCGGTTCTTATTTGTGGATCTCGTGTTCCAACTTAGCACTCTCTCCCTCCTGTATAACAACATTCTTGCCCCCAGTGGTGAAAATAATAGTAAAAGTAAAATGTTTCCAACTTGTTTTAAAAACAAGAGAAGAAGTAAAATGTTTCCAACTTGTTTTAAAAACAAGAGAAGAAGGAAGGGCAAATATAGAGAAGAAGAAAAAATCAGTGAATCTATTATGTTTCAAAAATAAAAACATAAAGGATCCTATTGTGTTTTGATTTTTCAAGAAGTAGGTTGGCATTCATTTTCCATCTTTATTTTGCTATGATTAAAGAAACAATATAATTGGTTAACAAACTACAAATTTTCAAAAATAAAATAAATTTTTGTTATGAAAAATTATTTTTTCACAAAAATGTTATTTTTTGTACTGTATAAACTCTTAATTATTTTATTAAAAAAAACAATTTTCACTCCGATGTTTGTCTATTCGGGATGCTCACCCAAACGCCTTCCGGGCCGAGCGCTTGGCGTGACACCGGATCAAGGACTGAGTCTGACTTTAATACCAATTATAACGGGTGGGCGCTTGTCCATTTAGCTTGAACTATTGGATATTGTTGCATACCCATCCATTTATACCCAATCACTTTTCCATCCGATCCGATTCCAACGTGGGACAAACTCATTCATTTATATCCAATCACTTTTCCAATCCGATTCTAACGTGGGACAAACGACTCTGGGTACACCTGCCCACAAAGCAGCAGCCCCCACCGCCGCCACCACCGCCTTTTATTTCCTGTCTTCAATCTCTTATACACATACACACACATGTATTACATGCAGACACATACATATACACACATACAATTTCAATCCAGTTCAGTCCACTCCTACACGGCCCTAACCTTCCCAAAATTAATTACAAAAAATTCTCTCCAAACCCAGTTTTAATGGAGACCATCGCCCGGTTTGGCAACAAATGGATCACCATCGCCCCCTCCTCTCGAGTCGAACCGACAAGGCCAAATAGAACTACTGGAACTCCACCCTCAAGTGGGAATTGATCGTCGATGAGTATCGACGAAGGCGATGGAGTATTTAAATCAGCAGCCATTGAAGAGATCGGTGAGTGCGGATTCTCCCCTTTCAGTTTTGGGTCTGTATCTCAGACTGGGTACTCCATCCGGGTTGGATGTAATCGAATCGATTCGACTAGTTTCGTGTTCGACGTCTCACATACCAACCTGAAAGTGAATCCAGCCTTATCCAAATAGATCCGGTGATGCTGCAAAATCAGAGTACGGACTTAATATCGTGATGACGATCTCTGTTAAGGAGAAGCGATAAGGGGGAATACCAACAATAGAGATGACAGTGGTGCCGCTGCCGTAAGAGGTGGAGGATGTGTTTGGGCCGTTCAATAAGGAGTTTTTGGCGGTGATACAATCGTCGTCGGTGATGGCTCGAGCAAGGAGTTGGACCATGCACTCCGAGCTTCGAATTCGTCCGAGTGGTGTGCTGTCGGCGGCGAGCATCTACGATATTTATGGGTCATGATTTGTATCGATCTTATTCACTGACATCTGGTATTCATAATCTTCCTGAAGAGAGGGAATTAACAGAACTGGTTTAGGGAATGAATAAGTTAGGTGGAGAAGGGCAAAAGTGTATTTTTAAAATTATGAAATTTTATCATTAAAATTATGATGGGGAATTTTGGTTCTTTGAACCATTTAAGGGCATGTTTGGATAAAAAATTCTGGGTGTCATTGTTCAAAGTCTAGTTTATATATGATTGTTATTATAATAAATTTCAGGCGTGTTAATGTGTAATTAACCCTAGTAATTATTAGGAAAATTGGAGAGAGAACCAAAACTATACCAAAGACACGGTGGTACAGGAACAGAGCTCTCACGCAAGTACATTTGTTACCTGCGTGTCTTCGTTATTTTTTAATATGCCTGCAATGTGCTTGAAGAATGTCCTCTATGAAAACTGGTTGTTAGAGACACGATTGATTTAGAATACCGTTGTCGATTTGTACTCGACCACCAGCGAGAACCGAGCTAGCATATCTTCCCACTTCCCACAAAACCAAATCTCAAAGTCCGTCAATGGCGACCCAAGTCCTCAGAAAGTTACCATTCAAACTCTCCACAAAAGGCCCTTCAATGGCCGTCGTGCGCTCGAAAACGACCTCTTCCCAGTACGTAGCATCCAGAGCTAGAGACCCCACATTCGAGAAACTCATGGACAAGTACAAGAACCTCCTCAAAGTGATCGCCATTCAAGACCTCATCCTTGCAAACCGCAGCAACAACCCACCGTCCGTGTCCCTTGAATTCCTGAACAGACTCTCTCAAAAGCTCCATCTCAACCGCGGCGCAGCCGCCTTCCTCCGCAAGTACCCTCACATTTTCGACATTTTCTATGACCCCAAGAAGTCCCAACCTTTCTGCAGATTAACTGACAGTTCTACTCAAATTTGCCGCCAAGAAGCCGCCGCCATAAGCGATTCCTCGCCACTTGTCGTGGATCGTCTGGTTCGGATTCTCTCCATGTCTGCCTCCAAGTCGCTGCCACTTCGAGCAATTTTCAAGGTCTGGAGGGAGTTCGGACTCCCTGATGATTTCGAGGACTCGGTAATATCCAAAAACCCTCATCTTTTTAAGCTTTGTGATGCCCATGAACCTAATACTCATATATTGAAACTTGTTGGTGCAATTCCCAGTAATAATTTTGTGGCCTCGGTTGAGAATTGGAGGATTACAGAGTGCTGTAAGGAGGATTCTAGTGTTGATAGGACTGAAATGCAGTTCAGTTTTAAACATGGGTTTCCACCAGGAATGAGGTTGAGTAAGAATTTTAGAGCCAAAGTTAAGGAGTGGCAGAGATTGCCGTATGTTGGGCCATATGAGGATGTGGGAGAGAAGAAGAGAACTAAGAGTGGAATAATGGCATTAGAAAAACGGGCGGTTGGGATTGTGCATGAGTTCTTGAGTTTGACGGTAGAGAAGATGGTGGAGGTGGAGAAGATTAGTCATTTTAGGAACTGTTTCGGGATTGATTTGAACATAAGGGATTTGTTCTTGGATCACCCTGGGATATTTTACTTGTCAACCAAGGGGAAGAGACATACTGTTTTTCTGAGAGAAGCATATGAGAGGGGGTGCTTGATTGATCCGAATCCAGTTTACAATGTGAGGAGGAAGCTTCTTGATCTTGTTCTTATGGGGCATCGTGGTTTGTTTAACGGTGATTCTAGATCAAGGGATATTGACAGAAGCATGGAGGATGAAACAGAAGGGGAGGAAAGTGGATGAGCCAATGAATTTACAAATTTGAAATGTAACAGAATTGAATACTAGGGATAGAGTCCCTTCATAAAAAAAAAGGGCCCCAAGATATTTGATTGCAGGAACTGCAGGAATAGGGCTGGAATTAATTTGACAGTGCAGGTAATGCATGACTGGAATGAAGGTTGGACATGAATGTGATGTCGGCCACATTAGTATTGGTGGACATTACATCTAATGGGCATTTGCCATGGCAAGGTTGTTTTACAAGATGTTAATGAAGTCGTATTACTTATGCAAAGTAGAAAGCTGAAAGTTAGTTTGGAGTTTTTTTTTTTTTTTTTTTTTTTTTTTTTTTTTTTTTTTTTTTTTTTTTTTTTTTCCTGGGTTTAATATTCTTAGAAGGGAGGCAAGTAAATCATTTGAATGGTTAGTCTGTTTTGGTGTTTAATATTTTCATCATATTGACTTGGGCATTTGAACTTTGAATACTTGAAATATGGTATAGTATGCCCCTCCATATTGGTGATACATATTTTTTTTTTTTTTAGCCTTGGTGATTCATATTCTGTTGTGCAAAATTAGTGGCGGCCACTCTAAATCCAATGTCGTTTGTGCTAACAGAGTTCCCTTCAGTAGAGGTACTAGTTTATAGTCATCTCCCTCTCTCTCTCTCTATATATATATAGTACTGCATATCTCTCTGTGCTGAATCCATGTTTTTCTCCTTCTAATGGTTAAGATGCTTGAATTTATTTTGTTGTGATGATTGAAGTTTTATAATGTAAATGTTTTCCTTTTAGCAACTTTAGCTACCATTAAAGATGTTGGTGTGAACCTGTGCTATGGATGGAGTTGAAGTAGGTGCATATTTTGGTTTTTATATTTTGATTTTAAATTATTAAACAACCTGACATATAACTAAAATGATTCGTATCTTTGTACACTTAAAATAACCATAAGACATTTTTCCTCTGCTAACCTTTTTATAATCAGGTGAATAACCCATTCACGGTTAACTAGTAGTTTTGGTTTATTCTGAATACTTTTCCAGTGCTCCCTTATTAGGCCATTGTTGGATATCTCTGCAACATGCTGTATTTTCATTTCTTTTTTCTGAAAACCAGGATTGATGAAAGCAAATTAGGTATTATTCTGCTAAACAATCTTTAGTGAGGAAACCTTTCGAATATCTTCTTTACTTTGAACTCATGATCTTGTCCATCAATTGCAGTTAGGTTGCTCAAATTGGTTGGGGAAGAGGATGATTGGATGCCACATGGAGAAACTGGAGAATCTGGGGTTAAGTCGATTTTAGCAAATAATGTTAGATTGGCTATTCGGATTAATAAAATGAATAAACTCCATTTTGGTGATTTATTGTTTGGACGAATTGGATCTTTGAAACAATAATCTTGGATTTATTACAGGTAGAAGCATAATTAAGGATGATTTGGGATTTTTGATGAATTACTGATGGATTGTTTCCCCCCAGGTTATAACATGAAGGTCTTGAGAGACTGTATTAAGTTTGCCCATCGAAAATTCCTTTTGAGTTCCCAATTATTTAGTTTAAATCAGATGGTTTATTAACTAGTGAAATCACCTTTGAGCCATTCATGAACTGTTTAGGAGCATAATTCATTAAAATCGAAGTCTCAATGTTATGTGGTGGGTTGTGGTGGCGATGGAGGAGATTGAGAGGTTAGAGAGAGAGAGAGAGTAGAAATAAAAACCGAGGGTAAGTGTTTAAGGGGTATTTTCGTCCAAAATATAACCCCTTAAACAGACATCAGTAAAAATACCCCCATTATAGTTGAGGGTTTTTTTTTGCTAAAACAATTCATAAGGGGTTTTTTTGGCTAATAGATGAAAGTCAAGGAGTTTTTTTTGCAATTCGCCCTATATATATATATATATATATATATATATATATATAAATCTCACGGATCGGATCGAATTTTTAACAGCTCAATTCGTAATCCAATCCGTGAACTACGGATTCCATATTATTGAATCCACGACCGATCCACGAGTCTAACAATCCGATTTGATCCACACCGATCAAATCAAAATGGCAGATCAAATGTCCACCCCTTCTAAGGATGATATGTGGTGAATTAAGGCTTGGAAGGCTATGGAAGGTCATTGCAGTTCAATTTTTACATGTTTACACAGATCAAATCGGATCTGGGGATCAAATGCCCACCCCTACCAAGGATGATATGTGGTGAATTAGGCTTGGAAGGCTATGGAAGGTCATTAAAGTTCAATTTTTACATGTTTACACAAATATTGTAACTTTTGTAGAATTGAACAGGTAGTCCACCATCTATAACATTGAGTTGACTGTGCCTTGGAGCACTTTGTCATACATGCGGTGGCTTATGAAACTAAAACAGTTTTCATTTTCTTAATAATTTGTCAATACATAATGGAATTTTAACAGGGTTTTCACCAACAGAGGCAGAGATACAGCAGACAGTTTGTTATAACGATGAACATGTAAACTGGTATGGTTCTTTTCTTGAATGATTTATGATTTCTTTTGTTTTGAAATCTGAGTAGTGACAAAGATTTGATGATACCACATGTTCTATTGCAGCAACAATTGCAGAACCTGTATGGTTGATTTTCATAGAAGCTGTCCGAATTTTTTAAAGGTTACTCAGAATGTAGATCACACAGAAACTCTTCGCCTGAGATGCTCAAACTGAAAGATTGGCCCCCATCTAATTTATTTGAGGAGCACTTACCACGCCATGGTGCAGAATTTGTCAGTGCCTTGCCATATTCAGAATACACACATCCCCGTTCTGGTCTGCTTAATGTTGCCTCAAAGTTGCCCGATAAATCACTAAAGCCAGACCTTGGTCCTAAAACATATATAGCATATGGATTTTCTGAGAGCTAGGACGTGGAGATTCTGTGACAAAGCTTCACTGTGACATGTCAGATGCGGTATGATTTGTTTAATTGACTTAACGATAGCTTATTGGCTTTTCCTGGGAAAATAAAACCTGTTGGTTGGTCTAGAAGTTAATTCCCAAGCCTGAACATTTGTTTATTAATCACTTCTGTAACAGCAGTATCCATGACATTTAAGTCATGTTTCTTTAACCAAAGAACAGAATTAATTTCTACATGATTTCAATGTGCTGAGATCTTAGAAGTAGATTCGATGATCTAGGTTACGCCACAGTATGATCACTTATATTCTTCCATAAGCGAAGGACACATTTCCATGAAACAGAAGTAGTAATTCCTTTTGGTAAAAACGGGAATAGTATTTAAAAAGTTCCTTGTATTGAAAAGTTGTGAATTTCCTGAAAACTAACATAGTCTGTGCTTTTATGTTAACGTGTATCAGTATACTGGTTTTGATTATGTTTATTTGTTATGCATTTGTCATTAAATACCATCCTTTTTCATTTGATGTCATTATACTTTCCAGGTGAATGTGTTGATGCACACTGCAGAAGTGGCCTATGCACCTCAGCAGCTTTCAAAAATTAAAAAATTGAAAAATAAACATGCTGCCCAAGACCAAGAAGAAATTTTTGGGATAGTTCCTATAGATAATCAAGAGGCTGAGAAGCACGTCCCAGAATCCAATGGGAAGTTCAAATCTGAGGGAGCTAACACTAGCTCATGCGGTGAAGATTATTGTGCTGAGGTTATTAAAGCTGAAGACAAGGGGGAAGATGCTGACATTTTGGGTAAAAATGGAAATAATGTTATGCAAGATATCATGTTTGATGAAATAGATCGAGTTTCTAGTTTGCCTTAAGAAAAGAAGACAAAGAACAGGCAGGGAAGAGGAGTTGGGCGAGGTAGTAAGAGGAACAGAGGAAATATGCATAATAGATTGGATGTTGAGTCTGAAGATTTGTTGACAGAGACTGGTAATGGTATTGAATCTCTGAATGAAGTGGGTACTAGAAATGTGGAAAATGATAGGAAAGCAGGACAGAGTGATACTAATTTCTCAGATCGTCATTGTTTAACAACTGATGTCCACCAGCAAGGAGAGTTTTCTGGCGGTCCAACTGGAGTTTCTGAAAACAGATTGAATGGGTTGGAGACAGCAGAGGGAGTTGCTGTCTGGGACATATTCCGCCGACAAGATGTTCCCAAGCTGCAGGAATATCTTAGAAAGCACCACAGAGAATTTAGGCACATCTATTGTCTTCCTGTAGAGCAGGTAAAAGTAATTCCGTCATGAAGAATATGCATTGGATAATATCCTGATTGCAATGTGAAGTCACAGTAGGTTTTGTGTCAAGGATGTTTTGAACTGCCTTCAGGTGGAGATTTATGTAGAGAAATTTGTTTTTGCTTGTTCAGTGTTGCATCTGAATGTAGGCACACCTTATATAGTGTCAATTATATTATGAGTCCTCTAAACAAGCAGGCTTTGTTCATCTTGTGAACATGGTGGTGTGACAGCAGCTATGTAGTTTTTATACAAGTCCCACGGCTATTTGTTATCTGAGAAACATTTTTGGTGTGTGAGTAAATTTGTTTTGCACCTTGGTTGCTGACATCATGCTTCTTATATTATCAACTATTTTTTTCAAATTAGCTACTTGAAATTGGAAACAAGAAAATTATGTGCATAACAAAATTAGCTTTTTTATTTTTTATTTTCATTTTTATTTATAGCTTTGAGTTGTTCACCAAGCCGAGCTTTTGAGTTCCCAAGTGTAGCATCAACTTCTGTGTGGTGCTTGATTTTTATTTATAGCTTTGAGTTGTTCACCAAGCCGAGCTTTTGAGTTCCCAAGCGTAGCATCAACTTCTGTGTGATGCTTGAACAGACTGATACTCACTCAGCTTGGCTCCTTTACTGTCCAACATACTCAGACCACAGTGTTACAAGAAGAAAACCACTTATTGCATAACTTCAATATATTTTAATTAATTTGAGGAAATTAGTTTTGTAAACGTAGTGTTAGCTTTGCCTTTTACCTAGCCCTAAATTGGTAAATTACTCATGTTTGTTATTTCCACAAGGTTAAATTTCCGCTGTGTGCAACATCACATTTTATAATGTTTACTGGATAACAGTTGAGGGTGCATCATATATGCTTATTGTCTTTCCTTCTGCTGTTTTAGATTTCCTTCTCATATCTGTATATTAGCTTGTCTAAATTGTTTTCTTGTAATTGACCCTTGGGATACCTCACCTTTATCCTTTTTGTTTCTTCTTCGTCATCTATCGAAAGGACTTATTTCTTCAAAAGTATGCTTTTTCTATTTCCTCTAAAATTTGTTATACAACCGTCACTGTGAGTAACTAAGTAATTACCTCACTCTCTGCCCTAAAGTATTCTAGTGTTAGATTGTTTTATTTCATAGTCATTGATCTGTAATCAGTTTGAGTAATTGTATTCTAGTTTTAATCAATGTAGTTTTATCGTTCAATGAAATTATAGTTTATAAAAGTTTTGCATAATAATTTATATTTATCTAATTTTATAGGTGGTTGACCCTATTCATGATCAGACTTTCTACCTCAATTTGTATCATAAGAAAAAGATCAAAGAGGAATTCGGTCAGTTGTTGTTTATCAAAGCTTTGTTGGCTTTGTGCTTTGTTTCTTTCACTATTATTCAGAGCAATAATTCACTTGAATGCTTAATGCAGGAGTTGAACCTTGGACATTTGTGCAAGAACTTGGAGAGGCTGTCTTTATACCTGCTGGGTGTCCTCATCAAGTAAGAAATCTTAAGGTAGGCCAGTCATAGAATTTTTTTGTTTATGGATTAGTCCATGAAACCTTTGTTTAGGATGTGGCGACTATAGTACTATCTGCAATCTTTATATGACTAGTGAGAACATTTATTATCCTACGAGTATTGGCCTTTTTCTTGAAAGTATGTGTACATTTTGACCACATGTGGTTCTTTCAAGCATATAACTATTCCATCAAGGTGACTCTTTTAAACATTTATTCAATTTGACTGACATTTTAGGCATTTTTTCCCCTTCAATATCTGAACCTCCATGCTACTAAAGGAGTCTTTCCAGAACACACAACTTTTAGAACCTTCTCAGTTTAATGCTCTCTGGCATGTTTCATGATTTCCCAAATGAGAGCATTTAGATACCTCTCCATTCTGACAAAGACCGCTATATACCCCGAGGCTAGTTCATTTAATTTCACGTGCAATAAAGGAATTGTTGGAAATATGTGTTGTAGGAAATACAAGTCGATCCATTTTATGCAACTGTAAACTGTTTAAATCAGGAATGAATAAAGAAAAATATACATGCATGCATGGTTACGTACACAAGTTTTTTATATATTCATGTAGCCTACCAGTCAATTTATGTTTTATTTTTGCTGGGTTTCCTTGAACTAGGTTTCTTATAATCTCTATAGTTTCTACTATAAGGGAGAGTATATGTGTTAGGAAATTGGACAATATTTTCCAGGTTTCCTTGAACTAGGTTTCTTATAACTTCTATTGTTTCTAATAGAAGGGAGAGGATACGTGTTAGGAAATTGGACAATATTTTCCTTGTTTCTGTTGTATCTTCCTTCACATTTTAAAGATTTTCTTGGGAAATGAAAATGTAAATTTTATGATCTAATTAAACAAAACCGTAGAACAATTCTTAGTTAGATTTCATTTTGGGGAAATTTTTGCGATGTTTACAACTATAACCCCCCCGGTATGTTATTTTCATTTTGGAATTCGTCATTCGGTGATCTTATTTGTATGACTCTTTTTTAAACTTTCTTCTTTATATCATCTGCAGTCATGTATTAAGGTTGCTCTTGACTTTGTTTCACCTGAAAACATTGGCGAGTGCATTCGTTTGACTGAGGAATTTCGTGTTCTTCCTGAGAATCATAGTGCCAAGGAAGACAAACTAGAGGTACGCTGTCTTGTTTCCTGAATAACACTATATTGCCTAAAGGTTTTATCTTTCTACTACCTTCTTTTTCCTGCTTGGGGTTTATGGGACAACGTGACACATCTAGAGGTTTGGTGGAATCTTGATTTTAATTTTTTTTTTCCAATACATTATATATAGAATCCTCAAGACTTTGGCCACATCTGGCCAGTAAGTCGGTTGTGAAGTTGTGGGAGCAATACTGTTTCCTCAGCTAAGGTTCTGCTAGACTTGTACATTCTTTTAATTTTTAAGTATAATAAGTAAGCAAATTTTGAGAAGCATTTGGCTAACGGGTGTATTTGGCTAGAAGGGATCTGGAAAAGCTTCCGGCTAATGGGAAATGAATTTGCTTAGATCGATGACTGCAGATATATTTCAATAGTTGTCGTTTCTTAACTTGGGAAATCCTATTTTGACAGTTAGAATTACTTATAGCTTCTAAGTTAGCCCAGGCTGTCTCCCTAAATTGTGCTTTACCTTACTCATCTGCTTTCCTAAAGCAGTGATCAAACTTCCGAACCTTGAAATCCTTAGTGTGCCTCTCAAGATAACCGAGTTACAGATTTCTCAGTTGCTGTTTGCTATCTCTGTCCATATATTGTAGCATACAGGATTAACCTTCTATATCCCAATTCTACAGTAGCTATTTTCTTGCATTGCTGCCTTAACATATTATGCTTGCATAAAGCAGGTGCTGCAATGGCGAATTTGCATTTTAATTTAATTAAAAGATTCTTTGTAAACGAGAAACATTGCAGTTTGTAATAGATGTTTGTTAGAGTAGGTCAATACAGTGTATAACTTGTTAGCTGGGGTAAGCTTTGAACCAAATCCTCTGTTGCCTATCCATCCAAGAATGAATATTGTGCAGCAATATGGTTAATTGCCTTATATCTTGTTACGACAAACAGCTGCAAACCAAGAAACAATCACGGAACACGACAAAAACAAGCACCACACAAGACACAAAGATTTATGTTGTGCGACACAAGTTGTACCTGCGTTCATGGAAAAGATCCGGTGAAAGACTTCACTATGTGAAAATCAGGAGATTATAAGTTTCAGTCCCCAAACCCTGCGATTTTCAGTGTTCTCTCGTTAACCCACTCCAAACCCTATACACCCTTATATACCAGGCTGCAAGAGAGTTCTAAACAGGGTCCACGAGCCGCAAGTAAAAACGGGTCACTTTCGGGTCAAAACAGCAACCTGGGCCAGAACAAAATTCGGGCCACAACATCACATATCTGTATATAGGTCAAAGGCCTTTGTATCTCTTAAATATTGGCCATTTCACTTCTTGAATAGCTTTTGGCATATGCATTGTGATAATCTCATACCTGTTCTGCATTTTTGCTTGGTGCAGGTGAAAAAGATGTCTCTCCACGCATTAAGTCGAGCTGTGGACGATTTGGAGCAGCTTACACGGTGAGTATAAGCTAACTTGAATTCTTTCTTAGTGCATTTCCTTATTTCAATTTCCTTTTCCCTTGTGTTTTGCTTGCTATGCTATTTCCCCAGTTTTCATAGCCTTCAACATAACTCTATGCAACATAATTCCAAGTTTGTTGCCTGAATTTCATTATCTTAAATAAGAAAATTGGAATATATATATATATTGATGAGAAATAATTGTTTACCATTTTATCAATTTTGTTTTGTTATTATAGCCCTCCTTATTAGTATTCCATCTTCTTGAAATTTGCCATATTAATATTCCCATGTCATGTATTTGTATCACATATCCTTGTCCATGCTTCATGGATACAGAAAAGACTAAATTTACAATAAAATGGCTATGTAATAGATAAAACTTGAATCATTTCGTCATAGGATGAGATATAATTGTTAAAGCAACACGAGTTAGTTTGCTCTTTTTCTATATCTGCTGCGGAGTTTGTCTTTCTTCTTTTAGTTTGCATCAGGTGTAACAAATGCACATTCCACC